ATGGGGGAGGAAAATCAATAATTTTTTCCTTCCATTTCATATGAATATAGCTCTTTATCTAAGTTTTTTGTCCCACAGCTTAAAATGCTCTTTATCAGCCTTTGAAATAACAGCTGTTGGAATGGGGAAGTCACTGGTATCCAAGCTGATTCACCTGCATTCTTGGGAGGTTTCATTTAAGTATTAACTTTGAGCCATGCGAAAGAAATTTTCATGGAGGTCTAGGGAATCATTGACCTCAGGAACCCTTAGTGTTATCCCAAACTACTACGGGCTCCTCTTTATATGACAGTGTATTGTTATAATAATTCTTGAATGAGTAACTTATTACAAACAATACTAAGTTAAAAGACAATTACTACTGGTGTCTTAAACCTGACTCCATTTCTTTCCAGATAGGTGAGTGTTCTGCTACTAGTAAGCTCCACTCCAAGTACCAACCTAGCGATGGCCACCCAGCTTTCTCAATAAACTCACCTTCTCTCCTTGGAGTGATGGGACCGAGTCCCGCAAACTGTGAAAGCTGTCTTTGATGTGGTCCCTACGCTTTCGTTCCAGTGCATTATGATGAGCCCGTTTGTCAGCCTAGAAGAAAGAGCATATTAGCAACGTCACTCCTTTTGCTTGGTACAGGTGAGTGGGTTACAGCCAGGAAGAATATGCTGTCAGCGCAGTCCCTGGTGAATGGACTGGGAAGGATTTGTCGAGGTGGGCAGTTAGGAATCTCCAGAATTAGGCTCTGCTAAAGGGGGAAAAAGGGTGAGCAAGCCTTGTGACAGGAACATCCAAAGTAGCTCGATGCATCCAGCTCATGCATAAGTAAAGTAAAAGTTATTCAAGGGGACAGAGTATGACTCTCCTACATCAGTCTTCCCCCATAACTTACTTATGTGACAGAAAAGCCGCCAGTCCATGGTTGGGAGGTTGACCCAGCAAAAGCTCCAGTGGGCCCTTTCATAAGGTGTGATCGCCCCCACTGTAAGTCAGCGATTCCCCATGGTGGGTGCCCAGGATGGGAGCTAGGGCATTGGTGCCAATGCTTCTTTCCATGTGAAACCCATCAGCACGAGTCTGTTGTGGTCTCCCGCTCGCTAAAGTTAAAACCTCTGGAAAAACCCGAAAACATGACTCTGAGATCATTCTGACAAAGCTGATCTAGACCCCAACTGCATTCTGAAACCCTCTCTTTTTAAAGTGGATCCAGGGTGCCATCCTGCCAAAGGCTTCCCCTCACACAGGCTGTGACGGAAAGGTAAGGGCTCTGAATAAATATCCTTGGGCACCTGTGGCAGGTCATGCTTATTTGGCAGCACCTAAATACCCACAAGCCAAAGTCTTTATCCTGCCTTGCTTAGACTCACAAAAGAACAAGAACAATCAGCTGGAGAGGGGTGAAGACTGCCAACCAATCAGGAATGGCTGGAGAGCAGTGCTAGAGCTCCGCAGGTCCCCATTAAAGGTGCATTCCCTCCAAATGGAACACAAATGCTCATTCCAGCTAAGCAAGAACTTTCTACACCTTGGGAATTATGGAAAATAATACACTTAGAATTTTACCTTAATACGCTAGGGTGCACTGAGCTAACCTAAGGAGCAAGTCTGTATAAGGGAAGTTCAGGTAGCTTTAATCAACCCAGACAGAACACCAGGAATTTTAAAAATGGAGCAACAAGAGTAAATAATCAGCACAAGAAAGCCTCAAATGAATCCTTGTATTAAACAAGATGTGGGAATGAAAGAACCTGAAATTCTATTATTTAATCCTAAAAGTCTGAGTCATTACAGAGGAAGAGGAGGCTGGGAGCAGCTGTGGTAATTTTAGTTACTTCCTGGTCTCTCAAGCACAACACCTCACCTATCTGCTGAATTAGACACATGGTTCCCATCACAGCCTTGGTTCTCCAGAACACAGCACTCACTTTTAGGGCAGAGGCATGGAGCACTACTAAGGCCCTCCTAATTTTTTAAAGTCTAAATTCACTGTAAAATGAGTGTTTGCTGAACTTCGGTGATAATAAGGAATTTATGGGGAATCTGAGGGAAGATCAAGCTTAGAAAGATTCCCTGAGGCTAGAGGTAGTATACTGTATCATACAACATTAGGGCAGAAAATTGCAGATGCCTCAAATAGCAGTATGAAATAGCTCGAGGAATTAAACATATTTAAGTCCCGTGTCCTTTTCTAACCTACTGTTCTCTCTAGTCACTTATACAGGTAAGTAAGTTCTAACCTGGACTACATCTACAGAGTTTAGAAGGCTGAGAGATGGCATTTGGCTTCTATCTGCCTCTCCGGTGTTTGCAACATACTCCCTAAGCTGGCTTATTTACATGCAAATTAATCGCCCAGCTTTGGTCTCCAGCAGCAGCCCAAGATACTCTGGTCTACTAAATCACCCTGATTCCTGGCCCTCCTCCCAGCTTAAGAGTTGTGCACAGAAACAGTGACACCAGAGTTACCCATAATCCCTCTTGTTGATACAAATAAAATTCTAATTGTTTTCTTTCTGGGAGAGCCCTGCAAATCTCAAAAGGCTAGAATCAAGTAAACTTGGTTTGCTCAGGCCTACTCTAGAGGGATGGAGCTGAGTATAATCTAACACCAAATTCATGCCCACAATACACTACCCCCTTCCCATTCACTGAGCCCTGAAAGGACTCAAATGGACAAGTCTTTCGGTTAGAGGATTGTAAGTGAACTTGGCTGAGGACCATCAGCAGAAATCTTGGCTTCTCATCTGGGGAGCCAGCCAAGTTTGAGAAGTTGGCTCAACAAGGAAAGGCAGCAGTCTACTGCCTGGTAGAAAGCCTGGGCTGGGGACTGTTGTTCTCAAAGTAGTGGATGGAATTTCTGTGGTGGTTCCAGGTCCAATTTAACTAGCAGAAGAGTGGAATCTTAGCCCAATCCCTGTTGCCATATCCATCCCCAAGCAGCTACACTTAACCAAAGTCAACTTTAAAGCTCTCAGAGACAACGGCAAAGATGTATTTTTCTCCTCCCCAAGCCTCATTTGAAAGAGCAAGTTAAAAATACGCAGAATGGGCCCTGGCCAGGTAGGTCAGTTGGTTAGAGTGTCGTCCTGATACACCAAGGTTGTGGGTTTGATCCCCGGTCGGGGCACGTGCAAGAAC